CAATTACAGATCACGTTCACGCCGATGGTCATCGGCTGTTGTTATCTTTCTTCGCTAACGCCGATTATTATCTGCGCGCACAGGGACACAAAGCAACTGCAGAAACCTGGCATAAGCGTCTTGGTCATCCATCGCAATCTACGCTCAACAACACAATCAAAGCAGCTGTTCTCGACAAAAAATCTCTTCTCTTACCTGGCGGCCTCGAAATGAAACCGGTTAATCGTCCATCACCCTGTTTGATCGGCCAGACACAAATCTACCGCACGAACCGTACCCGACTCATTTTCCTGGAGCTGAGGATTATCGATTGATGGAAAAAGTTTACAGCGATATTCTAAACTTACCTGCGGAGGGTTTCAACGTCGAGAAATATGTTATCACGTTCACTGAAGCTTCTACTCGATATGTCTGGACTGGTAACATGACCAACCGTTTTCTTGCTTTCACAGCGTTTCAGACATGGCTTCCTCTCGCAGAACGCGAGTCTGACACAAAACTCAAAAGCTTCCAGTGTGACGGAGCTGGGGAATATCGCAGCCTCGAGTTTACAGCGTACCTGCAAGAACGAGGCATACTGCGCCTGTTCTCACTTCCTCACGCTCACCAGCAGAGCGGTGTAGCTGAACGCCTCAATCGTACTTTGCAAGAAAAGATGCGAGCACTACTCGCACAGTCTCAACTCGGCCCACTCTACTGGCCCTTTGCGATGGACCACGCAACGCTGTTGCACAACCTCCTGTCTTCATCGGCTTTACCAAACAACGCATCGCCTCACTTGTTATGGACAGGAAAATTGGGCACTATGAAACTTCTTCGAGTTTTTGGGTGTGTTGTGCAATATCGTCCTCCCACCGCTCCGCTCGGAAAGTTCGATCAACGTGCTGAGTGGGGTCTTCATCTCGGCCTTGAGAAGCATTTTTCTGCATGGCGTATTCTGGATTATCGCAGTCGACTTTTAATTCCTGCCCGCGACTGTATTTTCTACGAAAATCTGACCCTTCCTGTCTTCGAACAGTACCTCGCCACGCAGCGTGACCCTGCTACACTTTTCCACGGTGTTCGCTCATTCGCCAGTGCTGACGCCGAACTTGCTGCCAGCGAAGAACCTGATATTGACGGTGCACGTGAAGCCGCTCCTGATCCACCTATTCCAACCACGTCTTCCGGATTTCCGGAGTTCATTCCACTCGTTGACGCTCATCCCGACGATGTTCGTGAAGTTCATCATACTTACCTGGTGGACGATCAACGACGTCCCATGCCAGCTGTAACTGACAGCAGCATCCGCGTCGATCCTGACGAAATTGGGGGGGCAAATGGTGAACAGTTCAATTTCGCAGGACGGACCGACGACAGTCCTAATTATCAAACTGGGCTTCAGATACTGGGACTCGCAGCAGCAGTACAGCATAATTCTTCAGAAGTCGCAGAACCGAAAACTGCCCGACAGGCCCTTTCAGGACCACATCGCGAAAAATGGCGTGAAGCCATGGATTGTGAACTGGCTGCCCTGGAAAAACGGGAGACTTGGGATCTCATACCCATCGAAAAAGCTACAAATAAAAATATTCTTACCGGAAAATGGGTTTTCAGGGTGAAGACGAAAGCTGACGGTTCTTAAGAAAAACATAAGGCAAGGTGGGTTGTTCGTGGTTTTGACCAAACTCATGGGGTTGACTACACGTTAACCTTCGCCCCGGTCAGCCGACACACAAGTGTTCGTCTCGTTATCTGCGAAGCAGCTGCGAAGAATTTTCCGCTTCGACAAATTGATGTCTCCAACGCGTTTCTATACGCTGACGTCGATGCCGAAATCTACGTCGAATATCCGCATACATATCCGACAAATCCGCCAAGTGTCTGCAAGCTCAAGAAATCACTGTATGGCATCAAACAAGCACCGCGACTGTGGCAGCAGCATTTGAACAGGAAACTTACAGAGGTTGGATTCCGACAACTGCCGCATGACCCCGGAATGTATCGGCTAGACGACAAGGGGAGCTACGCGCTACTTGTGGCTTACGTGGATGATATTCTCTACGTAAGTTCCTCGGCTTCTCTGGGTGATCGCATCGAAGCAGATTTGAAGAAGTCCCTTGACTTAACCGTCTCTACCGAAGTAACCCAATTTCTTGGGTTAAACATTTCGCGAACTTCTTCCGCAATCCACCTCACAGCATCGAAGTATGCTGAGTCACTCGCTAAGCGCTTCAAGATTCCTACAAGTTACGTCGCTACATCATTTCGATCTACACCCACTGGGTACATTTTCAACTACACCAAACTTTCGGCAGCTGGTTTACAACTGTACCAGCAGCAACTTGGGTGCCTTGTCTTCGCAGCAGTCACATGTCGTTCCGACCTTGCGTACGTCGCAAGTTATCTCGCACAGTTTTTACGCTGCCCAAAAGAAGAACATCATCTCGATCTACAGCGCGCTCTACACTATTTTGTTGCAACACCAACAGTCGGGCTGATTTTCAACACAGGAAAACCGACCGACAGAATGTACCTCAGCGGATATGTCGACGCAGACCACGCTGGTGACACGTCAGATCGCCGGTCACGAACAGGCTACATTTTTCGTCTCGAGCCCATTGGTCCAATCTCATGGAACTCATCGAAACAGGAACTGGTGTCACTTTCCTCGGCTGAAGCAGAATTCATTGCCGCGTGTGCTGCAACTCGAGAAGGACTATACTTACAGGAACTGCTTGACGAAGCGAAGTTCGTCACACCGAATCAGTTTACGTTGCAGTGCGACAACCAGAGTGCGATCACCATCGCCAACAAACCTGGCTTTGTCAATCGCACGAAACACATCTTATTGCGTTACTTCTTCGTCAAGGACGCGATCGACAAGGGGAGAATGCGTCTTGTCTACTGCTCCACTAATGACATGGCAGCTGACTCACTTACCAAGAAGCTGGCACGACAGAAGTTCCATCACTGCAACCAGCTCAGCGGCGTTTCTGAGACAACCGCTTAAACTACACCGAACTCCTAGAAGTGAAGGGGAGTGTTGAGATAATATCGAGACGTAAAGCAGTTCAAGGAAATTCGTGTAGTACAGTAAAGTACCGATAGGCTGACGTCAGCAAAGCGCTACGCGACCTAGGATGACGTCAGCACGTAGCTATAGACTTCGCGAATATTTACGTACCGTTTCAAGATAAGAATAGCACAGTACAGTAGGCGAACAGGTACTTTACTCTAGCTATATATTTTGTATGTTTGTCATTTTATAATATATCTGATTTCAGAGACATTTTGATCCTGAAACATATCACTACATAGACTTTATTAAGTCTAGACAAAGCCTTCACAACTGGCTTAACTCATATAAGACTTCCGCTACGACTTTCACAACTGGAAGTTACCATCCTAAGTAGTACGATCCTATTCAATCACTTCAAATTCTAACAGCAATTATCAAGTTTGTTTTATTTTCAAGCTCTTTTACCGTTTGATCAATCACTCATTCAACATCTTCATTTTAGCTAATCTCTCTTTTCCTTTTAATGACATCATAATATTTCAAGTTTGTTAATATTTTATCTTTAACCTTCTCCTTTGAAGCCTTAACATTCTATATCAATCTCTACTTCAAGAGTTTCTTTATCTTATCAACTTTGTCTTCAATCTTAACTCTTTCTTCTATGTGTTTTTATTTCTTTCTACTTGCTATTTACCCTTCCTCATCCTTTTCAATTTCAAGAAAATTGGCTCTAGTACTTGCGATGAAAATTTCGCTTCTTTTCGCGCCAAATTTCACCAATCAGAGCAGATCCATTTTGCCATGAACCAAGTCAACACCGAGGATGCACCATCGAGTGGGCCTTTCAGCGATCTTGCTGGACTGCAATTGGTCGTCACGTGGCCCTCGATTCTTTCAGCTCTCCCCCATCATCTCTCCCCCTTCCCCTCACACGCGCTTTCCAAGGTGCCTAGCACAGCCGATGCTCGAGTGATTGTTAGCCACAATTCACTTTAGGCCAGACGCGTCAAGATAGCTGGGCATATGCTGGTTCTCTTTTGGCATCCCCGATGTCGGGATAAATCTGCATTGCGCTGGTTAGGCTTTTTATTGGAACCGGAGGAGGCGGAGGAGCAGGATGTCGGGATGGTCGAGTCCCGTGTTTCGGGAGTCGCTGGAGGCGCTCGAGGACCCGCACACCAGGAGAGGTTCCTTGGCCGCTCTCAGGTATTGCCGTGCTGCTAATGCCACTACCATGCCGTTGAATCGTTGCTTAGACTTGACTGCTGGATGTGATTGCCGTGGCGCCGGTTGCGCCGATGGACTCTCCGTGGGTTGTCAACCGCGACCCAGTAGTGCGCACATGTTCACCCAGGAACTACAAATCTAGACTTGCCGTGACTGCTGCCAGCTTCCTCTTGTGCTCGCGATTCCATTGCATCCTCGTTCACCGATATCCATTTCCGTTGACGGCAGGCGAACGGTCAAAGACGTGGCCCCGGAGGTGATGCCGCGGCTGCTGCACCACGTGGCGGAGACGACTGTACGGCACACGAGCAGCAAGCGATATGCCGGTGAGGAGGGCGATATGGCGTTGAGGAGAGCGATATGGCGGTGAGGAGAGCGAAACATGCATCATGCACGGCGCTTGTCGCCTCGTTGCACCTGGGCGCGCGAGGGATTGGTCCGCAATACGTACAATTGATGGGCTTGCGTGTGATACTGGCGATTCACTGTAGCAAGAGATGTTATCATGCATTGCCGGCTGAGCATGGGTACAGCATGCGAGGCTGAAAAAGAAGTATTCCCAACGCGGTGCTCGTTCCTTGCGTGGTGGCTCGTTGCGTGCGTGCGTGGTGGCTCGTTGCGTGCGTGCGTGGTGGCTCGTTGCGTGCGTGCGTGGTGGCTCGTTGCGTGCGTGCGTGGTGGCTCGTTGCGTGCGTGCGTGCGTGCGTGCGTGCGTGCGTGCGTGGTGGCAGTGTCGCTCTTCGCCGAGTGCGCGCGCACGTACGGCCAGCAGATGGCGCTGCACGTGCCCAAGGTCATGACGGCGCTCGTGCGCGCCCTCGCCGCGGGCGCCGCCGCCGCCAACGGCAGCAGCATGGCGAGCAGCAGTGGAGCGGCGGCAGGAGCAGGAGGCACGCCAGGCGGCGGCGGCAACAGCGGCGGCAGGAGCGTGGCGTCGCTGCACGCGGCGTGCGCGGACGTGGTGGTGGAGATGGCTACTCACTGCGTCGCGGCCCCCCACGACCCCGCTGCCGACTCCGCAGCCGCGGCGGAGACTCAGATAGGTGCGCTTCCCGCTGACGAGGCATCGCACGTGTGGAATCGCGGGTGTCCCACCCACTGCCCATGCACTCTGGTTCCTCTGCCCATGCTCTCCCCGTTCCGACTTGTTCCACGATACGACTGGCAATGCCTTTCCTTGATACATTCGTGTTGCCCCTGAGCGGGCGTGGGTGTGGCCGTGCGTGTGTGCGCAGTGCTGGCGGCCATCTGCGACCCGCTCGCAGCGGAGCTGGCAGAGCAGCACCACCGCCACGTGCAGCAGCACCACGCAGCGGGGGCAGGCGGGGGCGGAGGGGGCGGGGCGGCGGCAGCAGGGGGCGCGGAGCATGACGCGCTGGCGGGCGCGGCCAGGTGCCTGCTGGCGCTGGTGCAGGCGGGCAAGTGGAAGCAGGCGAGTGTGGGGGGGAGGACTGATGGAGGCCGCGCATTGCGCTCAAGGCTAGATGTGTGGCAAGCGGAATCCAACGCAGCGTCCCTCTCTGCCTGCTGTCATCCGCCTTCCTTCACCCTGCTCTGCACTCGTCTCACGGGAGTTGACTGAATCTATTTTCACTGTTCTCTTCGCGTGCACATACAATCAGCCTTTTGTGTGTGTGTGTGTGTGTGTGTGTGTGTGTGTGTGTGTGTGTGTGTGTGTGTGTGTGTTTGTGTGAGGATGTGTGTGTGCGTGTGTGCGTGTGCACGTGTGTGTGTGTGTGCGTACATGGTGCATGGCCAGCAGGTGCCCAAGGCGTCGCAGGAGGGGGCGTTCAAGGCGCTCACAGCAGCGCTGGGCGGCGTGCACCGCCCTCTCGCGCTGCTGCAGCTCGCATGCGACCTCTGCCACCTCGACGCCTCGCTCGCCAAGGTCGCTGCCTCCTCCATGCGCCATGTGCTTGCTGCTTTGCATCGTGCCTATGTCTGCTAGCAGTGGACTGCTGTGCAGGAAACGCCTCAAGCTGCGTGTCTCAGTTCCTCTAAGTCCGTACCAGCGTCCTCTCCACTTGTGTCCGCACTCCAGCTTGACTGTGCGTGCCTCTCACTTCCCGTGCATCCCTCCTTTTGTCCCCATCCCTTCCCTCTGGGTGCCAGTTCCACGCCAAGACGCTGCTGCGGGCGGGCAAGGAGGTGCTGCGGGGGGCGGCCTCAGTGGAGCACCGCCTGTACGCCGTGCGCCTGCTCAAGGACGCCATGCGCAGGTGGGGGGCGAGAGGGGGGGGGGGGAGGGGGGGGGGGGGGGGTGGGTGGGGATGGAAGAGCGCCGGGGGGAGAAATTGTGGGAGGACATGTGCAGGAGGGGAAAGTGTGTGTGCCTGTCTCCGTCAGAAGCCCTGTGTGCCGAGCAGCCCGCACGGGGTTTAAACCGGACGACTACAGCGATACCTGCCCCACGCGCCCTGGAGTCACGCGGTTCATTAGAGTGTCCGCCTGTGCTCGTCTTGTGGCGCCCTTTCAACGCCACAGCATCACCCGGGCAGCCACACTGTGCAACTCTGCTCTTCGCCTCCAGTACTTCGATCTGCCTGCATTTATCCACGGAAGCTCCTTTCTTCCCTTGGTCTCTAATTTCCAAGCCCTCGTGCACTGGCCTCCTGATGTCCCCCCGTGTCCCCAGCAGCTGCAGCGCGGCGGTGTTTCAGGCGGAGCTGAGGGACGTGGTGGCGCTGCTGAGGGAGGCCGCCAACCACCCCAAGCTCAAGCCCGAGGCCCTCGCCGCTGGCAAGGCCATCCAGGAGAAGAAGGTGCGCCCTTGCGCTGGGAGAGGCATGTGGCCGCCTGGGGCGTGCTTTCATTCAAAGCGATTAGGGCCTGCCGCTTGCACTGCCTGCCTGCATGGGGCTGCCTGCCTGCTGGGCATGTGTGCGAGCACAAGACAGGTACACAGGGCGAGGCGGTCGCTCACTCTGTCTCCTCATTACTCTCCGCCCGCTGATCCCATCCTTTCTCTTATCGCCCACCCCGGCCCCACACGCCCCGTGCACCCATCAGAAGCACATCCCCAGGCCAGGCGCCACGTCCTCCGCCAGCAAGGCAGCAGCGCGCTGGCGCCCCGACGATGCCACGCGGACGCCACACGCCCACCCCGCCGACGGGCCTTGCCACGCCACGCCTGGTGCGGGCAGCAGCAGCAGCAGGAGCCCTGCGTGGATGGGTGCTGAGAGCGACGAGAGCAAGGTGGGTGAGGGGCGACAGCACGGGTGGACGCCGGAGAGGCGGGCAGAGGGCGAGGGAGAGGGGCCCACGTCGCCCACGCACTCAGCTGCCTCCTCCGCTGCCCGCACCGCGCCCCTCGCACTCGCCCCTGCCGTGCCTGCGCTTGCTGCTGCACGAGCAACCTCACAGTCATCGGAGCCTCCTCCACGCGACCCCACACTCTACTTCACCCCCCTGCCCGCCCTGCCCCACCACGCCTCCTCTCTGCACTCCTCCACATGCGCAGCAGCAGCGCCAGCAGAAGCAGAAGCAGGGGGAGTGCAGGGAGCAGCGGCGTCAGAGGGGAGTCCGGCAGGGCAGTTCACAGCCTTCCAGGCGCGGGGGGATGCGACCTTCACCACCACGGCGGTGCACGGCAGCGCCCTCTCCGCCACACCGCCCCCCTCCGCGCCCTACTCCGCCCGCTCGCCCGCCTCCCTCTCACACCTCGGCCCGTCGCCCTCCCTCTACCTCGGAGCCGGTTCCACCCAAGGCAAAGCGTTTGTGTCCTCAGGCCATGGTGGGAGTGGTGAGAGCCCAGAGGACATGCGGTCGGTGCGGCGGCGGGTGTTCCACGACGACGAGGTGCCACGGGATGATGCGGTGCCACGGGATGATGCGGTGCCACGGGGGAGAGGGGGGAGAGGAGGCAGGGGGGGGGGGCATAGGGAGCAGGAGAATGTTTTTGCTGGGGCCAGCGGGCACAAGGCCATGGGGCTGGCTGTCACTGGCAATGGTGCTGGCAACGGTGGTGTGATGGGTGGGCGGGAGTGGAGCCCCACAAGTGAGAGCAGCAGGGGCAACGGGCACAAGTGGGAGCAGGAGAATGCCGGCGCTGGGGCCAGCGGGCACAAGGCCATGGGGCGGGCTGGTTCTGGCAATGGTGCTGGCAACGGTGGTGGCATTGGTGGGCGGGAGTGGAGCCCCACGAGTGAGAGCAGCAGGGGCAACGCAAGGAGCAGTGTGTCACCCAGCACGAGTGGCGAGGGCCGTGAGGCGGTGCGAGGAGGCAAGGCGAGGTCACCACACAGCCGCGGCAACTCGCCTCTCTACGAGCTCGCTGCTGCCTTCGTGCGCGCCCGCAAGTCGCCCGACCTCTCTGGCAGGCTCGGCACCTTTAGCCTCACCTCCGGCAGCCCTGACATGCTGGGCGCGTATCGCCTGGGCGGCAGCAGGATGGCAGGGGGGGCGCTGGGCGATGCTGCTGGTGGCGGAGTGGGCAGAGGGAATCCAATGCGCATCACTCTCTCAGGTGTGCCCCACTCGTGCTTTCATATGTGTGGCCATTCTTTGTTCTTTGTGCGTGCTTACCAGATTGTCTCACTCGCCCCTCCATCCCCTCTCTGCTCCCTCACCCACCTCCATCCACGCCCCACCTCCATCCACGCCCCACCTTCGTCGCCTCTCCCCGCTCCCCGCATTGCTGCCCTCCTCCCTCTTCACCACAGACTCGGCCATGGCCCCTGACTCAGCCCACGCACGTGACTCCCTGGGCCGCTCGCTCCACCTGGCCTCGCCCTTCTCCTCGCCGCTCTTGCACTCGCAGCCAGCAGGCAGCATGCAGGCGGGCAGGGCAGGGGGTGTGGGGGAGGGATCAGGGCAGGAGGGCTTCCTGCTGCACCTGCCACCCCATGCAGGCCCGCCCGCCAGTGCACAGGGCGGTAACAGTGGTGGCGTGGGCAGCAGATCAGGGGTGGGTGGCGGTGTGGGCATGGGCAGCAGTGGGGTGTTTGTGCGGCTGAGTGGGGAGGTGGAGCATGGGGCGGGGGCTCCACAGCCGTCAACGGACTGCAAGGCGGCTGGGGAGGGGGGAGGTGGAGGGGGCAGTGGAGCGGTGCTGGCAGCACACTTGGCCACGGGGGGAGAGGGGGCGGGGACCCTTGGGAGTGCCGGGGACAAAAGTGAGTCGGCGCAGGCGTCAGCAGCAGCGGGCAGCTCTCCTGGCAGCAGTAGAGGGTCAGGCGAGGGCAGTGGTGAGGGAAGCAGCGAGGGGGAGGGGTCGTCGGGCTTCTGCCGCCTCATCTCTGACGCTGAAGTCGCCTCGGCTCTCGCCAGCATGCGCGCCACTCACGCCCTCTCCGCCCTCAGGTGCGCCACCCACGCCCTCTCTGCTGCGCTGAGGCGCACACCTCCCATGCACTCATGCCTACCTTCGCTTTCCAAGTCCCCTTTTTCTCCCCGCACGCCGTGCACCCCTCTTTATCTGCCTATCCCTCCATGCGTTGCCCTGCCCCCCTTCATCTTGTGCTGCCCTGCCCATCAGCAGCAACCCCACGGGCAGCAGTAAGGACGGCAGTCACAGCAGCAGCGTCACCAACGCTCACCGCGCCACTCTCCCCATGGGCTCTGCGCCATCACCGCTCCACCGCACGTCTGAGCCGCCCCCGCCCTCCCACGGCCAGCCCTCCACACCCGTGCTCTTTGCCCCGCCTCCCTCCCTCCCAGCCAGCATGCAGCTCGCCCCGCCCTCCCAGCCCGCGCAGCAGCAGTTGCAAGGGCAGCAGGAGAGAGGCGCGGGGCTGGGGCAGGTGCACAGAGGGTATGAGGGAGAGAGTGAGGACGGGCAGAGGGAGGGGCAAGGAGAGGGGCGAGGAGAGGGGCGGGAGGAGGTGAGTGGGTTTGGGGCGAGCTGCCTGTCCCCGCCGGGCAGCATTGGCCGGTGGACGCTCCAGGGTAAACCGCCCCCGCCCATGGCCCTCTTTATGGACGGCGGGAGTGGCGTGACGTCAGCGAGGGACAGTGTGGCATCAGGAAGAGGCAGTGCCACGTCAGCGCGAGGCGGAGGGGAGGTGCAGCATGTGGGTGCGTTGCAGTCGCTGTGTGGCAGTGTGTGGGCGAGCAGGGCAGGGGAGACCACAAGCAAACACCGATATGTGAGCACACCATCCCACCTCTCCCTCTCCTCCCCACCTCTCCCTCTCCTCCCCACCTCTCCCTCTCCTCCCCACCTCTCCCTCTCCTCCCCACCTCTCCATCTCCTCCCCGCCTCTCCCTCTCCTCCCCACTGCCCCTCCTTCCCAACTGTCCCCCTCCTCCCAACCTGTCCCTCTCATTTACACCTATCCTTGTGCTTCCCATCGTTCACTCGTATCGCCCGCCTGACTCCTATCCCCCTCCTTACAAGTATCGCTCCCTTTCCACAAAGAGCTTTTCTCCCACGTTTCCCTTCCATTGATCCCTCTCGTTGCACTTTTCGCTCTCCTTGTGCGAATCCATCTCTTTCTCGCTTCCCCTCCATCTCCGTTCTCCAACTACTCACTCATTCGTTCTGCTCATCTGCTACACTCCATATCCATCCCCTCCCTCTCCTCCCCCATTTGATCCCATGGTTCCACCTGCCTTGTGCCCCTCGCATCCCTCCGTCCCACAATACGAATTAACCCCATCCTTTTCTCCACCCTCAGACCCACACCCTCCTCACTCTGCCTCCTCAAACTCCGCTCCATCCCCCCATTCCCCCATTCCCCCATTCCCCCATCCCCCCATCCCGCCATCCGCCCATCCCCCAGGCGTCCCCCATCCGACCGGAGGATCTGGACTGCCCGGTGCCGCTGGCAGCGCTGGCCAGGAGTCTGCAGCACACGCCCGTCACCGGGGACCAGGTCGACGTGCTCCTAGCGCCCTCGCCCCTCCCCGGCACCCGCACTCCCGGCGGTCCCCAAACCGCCGGTGGGGCCAGCACAGGCGGTGGCAGCGGCAGCGGCGCTGCTCTCACGACACCCACAGCCGCCAGGAGCACGAGCGGCAACAGCAGGTCTCTGTCGTCTCACAGGAGTGCGGGCATGGAGGGCGGGCGGTGGAGCATGCATAACAACCCCATGGCTGGCGACTCACACCCCCACTGCAGCACGCATGATTGCATGTGCAGGACACCTGGCCACACATGTGAGGCGTCTCAACGCAGGTTCGGTGCACCTGGGCACAGTGGGGGTGGGGAATCAGGCAGAGGAACAGTTGATGGAGATACAGGGCAGTCAAATCCGGCGGGAGGTGCTGCGGTTAATCCTGCACCTGCAGCTGCAACTGCGTCTGTTGGTGGGGCAGGCGAGGGCGAGTGGGAGGAGGAGGTGCAGCAGGAGGTGAGGGTGCTGGAGGCGAGTGAGAGGGAGCAGCAGCGCGCCGTGGCACAGCTGGAGCAGTACGTGGATGAGGTGGGGGGGGCGGGGGGCGAGGAGGGGCAGGGGGGAGGTGCGTGTGGTGGGGAGGTGGAGGGAGGAGAGGAGTGTGGAGAGAGGGGGCATGCCGTGGAGGCTGGCATACAGGCAAGGGAGGGTGGGGGGGGAAAGGGAGAGGGCAAAGGGGATGAGCATGAGCAGCACAAGAAAGAGCAGGAGTATGAAGCAGCGAATGGGTTGGTGGGAGCTATGGTGAATGTGAGGCAGAGAGGGCGCAGGGGGAAGGGGGCAAGCTGTGACGGCGACTTGAGCGAGTCCACTGCTGGAGACAGCTACACTGATGGGGGGGAGGGAGAGGAAGGGGACGAGGAAGAGGAGGGGGGAGGTGAGGTGGTGGAGGAGAGGGGAGTGAGGGCGTGGGTGGTGGCGGCGGTGACAGCATTGGAGAGGGCAATGGAGGGGGTGCTGCAGATGCTGCTGCTGGCTGCCCTGGTGCTGCTGCTGGCCCTGCTGGGGAGCAGGCTGGCAGCCGTGGTGCACAATGAGGGCAGTGATGTGGATGACTTCGTGCCCACCTAGCTGCCCTCCTGCTGCCCCATGCCACTCCGCTCCTGCTCAGTGCTCCACTCCCCGCCCTGTCATGCTGCTCCCCTCGCATGCGAGTCCATGAGCAGCCCACCATGTTCATAATTCCGCACCTCAGCTGACACACACTGACACCTGATGCAGCCCTGATGACAGCACCTGAAAACCAAAGCCCCTGAGAGCACCTGGAAACCAAACCCCCTGAGAGCACCTGGAAACCAAAGCCCCTGAGAGCACCTGGAAACCAAAGCCCCTGAGAGCACCTGGAAACCAAAGCCCCTGAGAGCACCTGAGTAACATTCAAGGACTCGTGCGACGACCGCAGCTTGCAATCCTTTCTGGCGTGAGGTCCCTCCATTCATTGCCGGAACCAGTGTCAATTCAGCAACAATGCACCCACAACGCAACCATCAACGCAACCATTAATGCGCCCATCATGTAGCCAATCAAGCACCAACAATATGCCTCACTGCGCGGATCCATGCCCTCCCTTCCAACCAGGCCCTACGATATCAGGAATTTTTCCCTGAAATTCCTGATTTTCAGGGATTTTCTTGTACCTACCCTGATTTTCCAGTGTTCAGCTTTTTGGGGGACTGATTTTTCAGCCTTTAGGGGCCAGATGACTCTGAACTTTCAGGTTTTCGTAAGGGACACTGATTACGCTACGTTGTAGCGAAACTGACACTCAATGCGATTCCTACACGTTCCGAGTGTAGTTGCCCGGAAGTGCAGGGAAACTCGATTCCCGCGGTGTTAGCACCGCCTGGCGGTGACTACCAGACAAATTTGCCCCGAGTTATTTGCTTTGAGGGCTGCTTTGTTGGCGCGCCTGGTCCGATCAATGGCCACTTTTGCAGCATTATGTGGGTTGACCATTGACAAGGTTGCAACAGAGCGATACTGGGTAGCTACGATGCGAGGATTTCTGGCCCATTGCTTGCACTTGTGGTCCTGTGGCCCGTTTTATCTAAGTCGTGATGGCAAGCACTGATGCATCCACACCGCCCAGCCGTGCTACCTGCCATCCAAGCTCCCATCCCATTCTGCTCCATGCTTTCCTTCCATCCCCTTGGGGTTTCATCGCATTCCTGTCAGAATACTGAACGAGAATGGATGAACTATGAATGAGTTGGGTACAAGTAATAACCCTGATTGGGTTGTACCCCTAATGGGCTACCCCACTACAGCCTACAAAATGTATGCACTGTAACATTTTGACACACCCTTATAGGCAAAGGGAGAACAAGTGGTCACAAGACCAGTCAAGAAAACCAAAGCAAGCACAAGGTGGATCACAAAGTCACCACACATTATGAGCACAAGCAAATGGCCACAAGGCCAGTTCACATGCAAAGTTATAAAAAAGAGAACAAACAGAACAATTATCATACATACCCTAGCAAATGTAAGCATGTAGGTATATATATATAGATCACAGTACAAGCAAACTCACGCAATGAGCAAGTGAGGCAAAGTAGGCACAAGGCCTAACACAGTACATAAACGCTGATGATCACCGGACTGAACTGCCTTGGTGAATATATCAGCAGTGTTGGCCCGAGTGGCCACGTAAGCAAGACGAAGCTGACCACGTTGCTGCAGCTCTCGAGCAAGGAAGTAACGCAGAGCGATGTGCTTCGTTCTATGCTCCAGTCTATGCTCCGAACACAAGGCAATCATGGCCTTGTTGTCTATGTACAGAACTGGAGAAGAACGAGGCCGCTCTCCAAAGTCGGTCAGCAGGTAGGTGAGTCAGCGTAACTCCTGTGCATCGATGGCCCCTGCGTAGATCTCAGCCTCACAACTGGAGCTGAGAACCGAAGACGAGCGGGTAGACCGCCAAGAAACAAAGTTGGAGCCAAGGCTGAAAGTGTAACCCTGTGACGACCGCTGCGTAGCCAAGTCGTCAACCCAAGAAGCGTCTGCGTGTCCAGTGAGGACAACTGGACCCCGTCCTCCAAGCACGAGCCCCATGCCCGATGTACTGCACAAGTAGCGCAACACCATCTTAGCAGCCTACCAGTGCTCTGATCGGAGTCTCCCGAGCGCAACGTAGTGTGCCACGATGCTAAGAGGGTAGGATACAGGCCACTCGGCTCTACAGACTCGTCCGAAGGTGGAGCTGAGAGCGAGTGACCGGTAGGCAGAGGAGTGGACTGTGGCGAGGAGTACCGGAAGCCGAAGCGCTGAAAGACCTGGTGCACCATGTGTGACTGAGTCAGGGTGATGGTGCGCCGTGCTCTGTCCCAAGCGATTTGCAAGCCAAGATAGATGTGCAGCTCACCCAAATCAGTGCAGGTGTGTCTCTTCTGCAGCTCCGACTTCACAAGGGCCAGTGCGTCAGTGTCAGCAGTGGCACAGACCAAGTCGTCGACGTACACGAGGACATAGAACGGCGATTGCAAAGTGTCGGTTCGCAGAAACAGCGACGGGTCAGCAGTAGAAGGAGCAAACCCAAGAGCCGCAAGCGTCGTCCCCAGTGTGTCGTGCCACTCGCGAGGCACCTGGCGGGGACCATAGACTGGCCGCTGGAGGCGCCACTTGGTACCTGCAGGAAACGACACAGTGAAGCCAGGTGGGCGGCGCAGCCAGATCTCCTAGTGCAGGCTGCCCTGTAAGAATGCTGTGCTGAAGTCAAGAGAGTGCAGCTCGTAGTCACGTTGAGCGACGACGTGCAGCACAACCCAAAGAGTGGTCATCTTCGGGGTAGGGGAGAAGGTCTGGAAGAAGTCAACTCCCTATCGCTAACCGAAGCCTCGTGCAACGTAACGAGCCTTGAAGGCAGGCGGAGAACCCGGCGGCCGCTTCACCCTGAAAATTCACATGCCATCGACCATGTTCGCCCCACAAGGGGAAACTGCGTCGACATAGGTGCCTGTGGACTTCCAGGATGCCATCTCTGCGTCTATGGCTATCTGCCACTGAGAGGAGTAGGGACCCGTAATCGCCTCTGCGTAAGAGCGCGGGGTCGGGATGTCTGGTGCATCCGGGTCTCCCTCAGGTGCAAGAAGCATGGCCACGAGATGAGGTACAGCAGCTGCAAGACACTCAAAGTCCTCCTGCCTGTCCTCGAGGACGTCCGTGCCAAGAGCACACTCATCCCTCACGGACAGAGGACAGTCAGACTCAGACTCATCAACAAGACTAGTGGCGTAGTCGAGACGACAGGCGGCAGCAAATTCAACAAGCTCAGCAACTAGGGCAGACGCAGCAGCGGACTCAAACGAAGGGTCAGTGACAACAGTGGCTAGAAGACGAGGGACAGTAGGACTGGCAGCACGAGCTAAGTCAGACTCAGGGTGAGGAACGTCAGGAAGAGAGGACGCAGGAGGAGACGGCAGGGGAACTCGCAGTGGAACAGAGGAAGGACGATGTGCCATAACGTGAGTGCCGGGGATAGGAGGAGGACGCGGACGAGGAACACGACGACCAGTCCGAACAGCGCCAACAAGCGAGGCAGGACGAGACTCAGGCTCATGACGCTCTGTAAGAGAGTCTGTCTTCTCAGCGTAAGGAGGAGCAGGCAGTGGGGAGTTTGGCTGTAACTGTGGCTGTGACTTGTGAGGCGGTGGACACATTAAGCTAGGAGTAAGGCCAGTAGAAGATGGGAGACTAAGAACCTGGCGAAGGACTGAGTTAGGTGGCGGCAGAGAGGACGGTGGTGGCGGAACGAAAAATAGTCGCCGCTGCGCAGTGCCTCCAGCACCAGTACCGCCAGCACCCGCACCTCCAGCTCCGGGGTCTCCAGCTCCAGCGCCTCCAGCTCCAAGGTTTACAGCTCCAGTGCCTCCAGCTCCAGCGCCTCCAGCTCCAGCGCCTCCAGCACCAGTGCCTCCAGCTCCAGCGCCTCCAGCGCCAGGGTCTCCAGCTCCAGCTCCTCCAGCTCCAGCGCCTCCGGCGCCAGTGCCTCCACCTCCAGAGTCTCCAGTGCCAGTGCCTCCAGCTCCAGCGCCTCCAGCGATAGGGTCTCCAGCTCCAGCTCCTCCAGCTCCTGCGCCTCTAGCGCCCGTGCCTCCAGCTCCAGGGTCTCCAGCTCAAGGGTCTCCAGCTCCTGCGCCTCCAATACCACCAGCTCCGGCAGCTCTAGTATCTCTAGTACGAGCACCTCCAGGACCAGCAGCTCCAGCACCTCCGGTACCTCCAGCTCCAGCAGTAACTCTAGCACCTCCAAGACTAGTAGCTCCAGCACCTCCAGCTCCAGTGCCTCCATCGGCAGAGCCTCCATCTCCTGTAGCTCCACTCCTAAGGCGTGTGCGCTGAGCAAACCACTCGCGCAGCTGCTGCGGTGAGAGAGGCTCCCGTCGGGGAGACAGTCGAGGCAAGGCACCCGCAGGACCAACAACAAACGCAGTACCCCTAGGCGCAGCACCCCCAGACTCCGCACCCTCAGACTCAGCACCCCCAGGCTCCGCACCCTTAGGCTCAGTACCCCTAGGCTCCGCACCCCCAGGCTCAGAACCCCCAGACTCCGCACCCTCAAACTCAGCACCCCCAGGCTCCGCACCCTCAGGCTCAGCACCCCCAGGCTCCGCACTCGCAAGCTCGACACCCCCAGACCCAGCACCCCCAGATGCAGCACCTCTAGCAACACCTCGACAGGCACAGTCCCGAGGAGTGGGTCTACTTGAGACACACCTAAGGGAGCAGGACCCTGAGGGGGGAGGGGGTCTACTGGAGGGGGGCCTGGAGCAAGGAAGAGCGGAGGGGGGGGTAGAGGGGCAGTGCGGTAGGGGAAGAGACGGTAAAAGGGAACCGACTCGTCAAACGGGACGTCTTGAGAGGGGAGGACACGGCTCAAGTTGGGGTGGTAAAACTGCCAGCCAGGCACGGTAGGGGGAAATCCAAGGAAGACACAGGGAATAGTGCGGGAGGAGAGCTTGTCCACGGAAGTATCGCGGACAAAGGCACGAGAGCCCCAAACCCAGAACACTGACGCATCGCCAACCTCCCCCCTCCAACGCAGTGTAGGCGAGGTCTCTGGCAAGGAGACA